AGACAATGTGACACTCACACTAATATATGATGCTTCATTGATACCACGACCAGCGAGGGTGAACAGGCAGGTGGCAGGATCCGTGTAATTACCTGAGCTGAGCAAGGAGTTCTTAAAATAATAAATGACAAAGTTAAAAGGCAGTGTCTGTGCCTTGTCAAAGGAAATTGAGAAACCCTGAGAGATGAGTCCCTGTCAGGGCTGTCCCAGAAAGTGAGGCCCTTGACAGATTCACCAAAGGCAGGCAGGGATATTCTGCTTCTCAGAAGTCAGGATTTCCCAGGCTGCTGTCAAGAGAGGCAGAAACAATTTGCCTTTTCTGGCTTTTCTGCACAGACTGACAGATGCTAGAGCAGCACAAAATCTGAGGGGTCTTTTTAACTTCTTTAGTTTGAGTTGCTGTCTTAGGAGAGGTGTTTCAGCTCGATGCATTGGTCATGGAATAGGAGGGGGTCCCTCAAGGTGTGGACTGTACAGAACAGGCCACCAGCTCTGATTCATCTGGTTCACATCCCACTCACAAGCTGTCCCTGGAAGCTTGAGCTTACCCTGAGCTCAGCCACTGACTCCAGACCTGGATCAGTTTCCAAAGGCTCAAAGTCTTGCCTGCCATTTCCTGACATGTGGGAGCAGCTCATCAGCTGCACATGTATCAACACAGAGATGCATGCAGGGCCTGAGTAGAAGGGACCAGGAGTGTGAGCCATGGTGTATCACGGTCCTCTGCTTGCATTGGAGGAAGCTGGGTGGCTTCTCTGGTGAGGGAGGTTGAGCACTTTTGGTGTTCACCTGCTGTGAGATGTACATGCCTATGGAGGTGCCAAAACTCTGTTGCAAGAAAACTCTGTGTGAGAGACACCACCTCTGTGGTGGACAGCAGCCCTGGCTGGTTGGTGATGGTCTTTGGAACAATGGAAGGGCTTCAAGGAACTGCCCAGAGGTTTGTTCATTTTAAGTGCCACCATTTGTAGGAATTATAAGAATCCCTTTATTTCTATGTCATTAACGTACATATCTCCTTTATGGTATGGCTTTTCAGATTTGAATGAACCTCAGACTGTATTTAACCAGAAAAAAAAAGGCAGTGAGACCTACTAAATTTTACTTGGGCATAGTGAAGTGGATTTTCTTCTTATTTCTTCCCAGCACTGACAGAGATGACAAATTGCTCATAACTTTAATTTTGCAAGTGAAGCACAGTTCTGTCTTTAATATATACGTCTGGCATACAAGGATCCATCTTTGTAGGCAGGTTTTGCTGTGGCAAATCAAGTCATTTTCCTCTCTTCCAAGTACCTGGTGGAGAAAGTGTTTTGGTTGTTTATGGAAGCTATTTTAATTTTCTGCTTGGCTTGGCTGAGCAGCTGTGACTTCAGGATGATTGGTTGGATTTGCATAAGGTCATTAAGATCCAATAATGGTGTTTATTGCTAAGACATCTGCCATTTATATTCAAGCAGAGCAAGTAAAATTAAACCTCAACTAATACTACTGCTATTACCAGTGCAATTAGTGTCAGGTAAACCACACCTTCTGGAGTAGACCCGACCAGGCTTTCAGAGCCAGCCCTTGGCTCTGAAGGTAGCTCCTGCAAGCCAGGAGTAGTGTGCAAGGAGGCTGCCCTGGTGTGTCTTGCTGCTGCTGATTGAAGAGGCTGACACAGCATGCTGGTGGTGAGGTTTCAGGGTGCCTGCAGGGTATCACAGTGAGCAAGAGTTTTGTCAGTCGGCACAAAGGAGCATTCAGAAAACGGATCCCAGCTCTGTTAGGGTGGTGTAAGAGCTTTCCTAATTGCTTCTGTGCAGTCCACATCAAAGAGGGGCAGCATGAAGACTGACCCAGATTCTCTGCTTCTTGATGCCTTTTGATAAGCCCTTGACGAGAATTTAAATGTAATGAAAGAAAACTTGAGGGAGCAGCATCTGCTATGAAAACCCCAGTGGCCTGCCTGCTCCTCTTGTCCCCAGCCTAGCAGAGCCAGGCAGCAGTACGAATTCCCTTGGCTTCCCATCTCGGAGGAGGAGGAAAGACAGCAGCAAGGAAAAGGTGTCTGTGTTTGCTGCCTGTTTTCTTAACCTGTCTTGCAGCAGTGCTAGGTTGTCTCAGTTTACAGTCACCTTTCAGGCTGTAGCTGACCATTAAAAGAAAAAGCTGCTTCTCCAGAAAAGGGCTTTGTGGCTCCAAGTGCAGCCTCGTTTAAACTTTGTGGAGTAAAATTATAGACTAGTGATTTATTTGGAAGCATCCTTGGACCCCAGAGCTGCATGGAAAATCTATCAAAAATAGCAACAATGATCAGTCACTAAGGAACTTGTGGTGATGCACTTCAGCTTGTAGTGCTGTGCTGCAGGAGACAGTTTGTATTAAAACTGCCTAATGAATTAAAGACGTTCTACCACTTGCCTTTAAAACTCATGAGAGATTTTTATCTTTGCCTGAAAACGTATTCAGCCGAATGGCAATACGTCTGTCAGGATCTAATGTCGAGGAACCAAACGGCACATGAGGAGCCAACACCACGGTGTGCGTGGCAGCCGGGAAGGAAATGCTCCCTCTGTGAGGCACTGAGCAGTGGGCTCACAGTCAGTGCATCGCTGGTGATCTCCGTGGACTCGTAAGGCTAATCACTGCAGGGATTGTCTTCAGTC